CTTCAAGACCGTCTTCCCACCGCCCCCCTCCCCCCTGCCACTTCAGGTGAGAGTCAGTCACTTCGGGCTTGCGCTAAGTGAAATGGAAGACCCCAGAGGAACGGAACCCTGAGAAGGCCCTGGCCAGTGACCTCCCTATATGACTGGTTTTTTTCCCTCTCCTTTCTGTTTTCCTCACCCTCTTCCTTGATGATTTGACTATTTCGTGTCCACCTTGTGTCTCTGCTGATGAAAAGCCAAGCTCTATGTGATACAACTCCTGGAAGCAGCTCAGACCTTTCGTTCCTATCAAAACCTAAAGCTAACGTGAACTTTATATGAAAAACACATTTTGGAAAGGTTTTTTGTTTTTGTTTTTGTCTTTGTTTTTGTTTTTGTATTGGCGAAGGGTCTCGCTAGGCAGCCCAGACTCATAGTGATCGTCCTGTTTTCAGCTTTCCCAGCACTGGAATTATAGGTGTGTGTCACAGCACCCAGCTTAGTGCAACCAGGGCTGGGGCGGGGCCGGCCGGTGTGCGGTGCTGGGAACTGAACCCCAGTCCCTGCTCTCGCCTAAGCAAGAGTTTAGTCCGCTGAGCTATCTCAGTGACCTAGGGTTGTTGTTTTTTGTTTTAAACTTCTCCCCAATATAAATGACACTAAAAAGTGGTAGCTAAAATAAATTTTAAAAGAACAAAGAAACTCTCCCCTGAGGATACAATGGTATCAAAAAACATTATAAATCTCTTCAATCTCATTGTCTGTAAACATCCTCTGGGCCATGATGGGAGGGTAAGGCACCAGTCCCTGCCCCCTCCCTGTGCCCTAGGACCATGTGGCGACCCAGGGATATAGCTCCAGTGGGGCATAACTCTCTCTACGTCAGAGCACAGCTGCTACCAGATCCCTGAGCTGCGACTCAGAGACCAGTGCCTTCAGGAGTAAGGAGCAGGACCACCAGACCAGGGCCTTAAGTGCAGACACCCTTCCCCATCTCTGAATCATGCAAGTACAATACTGCCCCCTTAGCCAGGCGAGGCGCATGCTAAGCCCCCTACAGGGTAGCTGTCAGCACGGGTGGTATACAACCCCATGCACACTGTGTTTCTTTTCCTAACATACCCAGGGTGAGGTTCAGTTTATAAACTGGGCACAGTAAGACATTAACATTGACTGATAACAAAAAGAAAAATTATAACAATACATTGTACTAAAAAGTATTTAGCATTTCCAAATTGTTTATCTCTGAGATTTTTCACTTAATACTTTCAGACCCTGGCTGAACAGAAAACTGAAACCACAGGGGAAAAAAAAACCCAAAAAACACTGATAAGGGGGGACTACTGTACCCTACCTGTCTGCATGAAACAGCAGGCATTTTTCCATATCCTACACACAACTAAATTAAAGGCCTGTAAGACTGAGTATTCCTTTTCAAAACTTTCCCCCTTCCCTCTTCTTGGCAATTGAGTTGCATCTTCCTTACAAGGGCTGATGCAAAGGTACAGCGAATGCTTCATTTTAAAAATTTATTACAGTGAAATACCTGGTGCCATTGCTCCCCTTGAGATATTCTCCTTCATGTCAAATGCAATTAGCCCATCATTTTTGTCACTTTCTTTTTTTTTTTTTCTTCAAAGTTTTATTGCCAAACAGATAGCAATGAGACAGTTTCAAATCAAATCGGAAGGACAGTTTCAACAAATAATACACTGCATATATTCTTCTTAGTGGTATTTTTGTCACTTTCTGAAGCAGTTCTGGATGTCTTGTTTTTGTGAATGCCTTTATGAGTTGTGATCCAAAATATGGTGACTAGTGCTACCACATGCCATCCAAAAGGGCGGGCTCATGAAAAATGTATGGTGTGTCCCCATCTGCCTTCTTCACCAGATCTGGCACTGTGTGACCTCTGGCTCTCCTTCAAGGTGAAAATGACCATGACAGGGAAACATTTTGAATTGATTCAGGCCCCTGAGGTAGCCAGGAGAGCACGACTAAAGACACTCAGGAAAGAGGAGTTCCTGAATGCTGTGGCAAGCAGCAGGAACCATGGGGTTTGGGGAGCATTTTGAGGGAGTTTGTGGCAATTTGTCTTCAACCATAATGAATTTTTTTTCAAAATCCAACGTTCTCCATATTTTTAGGTCACACTTCATATCTTAGAAACTGTTTCCAAGGCCCACAGGCAGCCTCTGAGAAGTTCCCATCGGTGACCCTAAAACTCTGTCTGCCTCTTCCTCAAATGCTGTGCAGTGCTCCCCTGGGGAAGGCCTGACTTGAATCCCCAAGGTGAGAGGAAACAGGCTGGCAGGCTGGCTCCAAGAGTAATGACCCTTACACTTACTATATCTTTTTTCTTTTTATTTTCTGCTTTTCCCTTCCTTTTTCTTTCTTTTTAAAAATCTTACTGTGTCATGATACACATTTCATTACGGTACAAGCATTTAACATGACATGTCCAAAAATTACCTAGAAAGACCATGTGATATAGTAGGACCCTGGACTTCTCACCCTGCCTGACTGAAACATGGTAAAACTTTCCCGCATTTCTCTCCGCTGGGGCCTTGGCAATCACCTTTCTCCTCTCTGCATCTGCAAGCCTGAATACTTCACACAGCTTATGCCAGTGGAACTGTAGGACTATTTGCATGACTGTCTTATTTCAATTGGCATATCTTTAGTGTAACAGGATTTCTTTCTTTATTAGGACCTAATGCTAGTCCACTGCTTGCATATACTGTATTTGCTTTACTTGGCCATTGATGGCATTTAGGTTCATTCCACATCTTGGCTATGTGCTGGATCTTAAAATGTGACCCAAAGCCAGGTTGCCAAGATGGCGGCCTTTGTGCACTTCTGGATGCAGAACCATTGACAACTGCCACCTCTGCCATCCTGGAGCATTACCCTAAATATTTGCCTCCGGGTCCAGCTGATTGTCACCGCTGTTCTTTTTATTTTTTATTTTATTTAAAAAAAATTTTTTTTTTGGCAGAACTGGGGATTGAACTCAGGCCCTTGTGCTTGTCAGGCAAGCGCTTATTCTACTGAGCCATCTCCCCAGTCCCAGCCACTGTATTTTTTAATCAGTCCACATTTACAGTATGCAGTGACTGCATTCCTCATGGGGAGTGGCCACACACGTACACAGCACAACTTATCCTTTCTTTATTCCCCTGTCCATCCTTCTCTCCCTCCTTCCATCTCTTGGTTCTCTCCCCTTTGCAAAAGATCTGTCTCCCTATGTCCTGCTAACCTATCTTTTATGATGTTCTTTACTTATACTCTGGATTTCTCACATAAGAGAAGCCATGTGGTATTCAAGTTCATATGATTTATGTCACTTAACAGTGTGGTCTCAAAGTGTATCTATTCACCCATGAATGACCCAAGTTTAACCTTCTTTACACCAGAGTAGTATTCCACTGTATATAAGTGCATTTTCTTTATCCATTCACCTGTTGCTGGGTTGTACTACTACAAACATAGGCATGCATGGGTCACTGTAATACGAGCTCTTTTTAACTCTTGAGAAGATACCTAGAATGGGAAGAGGTGGGTCATGTGGAATTTCTGTTTTAAGGGTTTTTTTGGAATCTCTATACTGACTTCCACAGTGGTTGTACCTGGTTATACTTCCACCATCAGTATAGAACAGTTTCTTTTTCCCTGCAACGTCAACACCCTCTGCTACTGTTCAAACTCTTGATGATATCCATTCTTTCTGGAGTAAGGTGGGATCTCAATGTTGTTTTAATCACATTTCTTAATGGCCAGCAATGTTGAGCATGTTTTCATCTATTCATGGGTCTTGCCCCTTCCATGGGCCCGAGGCCTGGCTCTGTCCCCCTACCATGTTGCTCACTGCCCTCATGACAACAGTCCTGCTCCTGGAAGATGCTGCAGAACCACTCTGCACTGTGGACTCAGAGGCAGGCTGCCCACTCTTGCCATGCCCATGGGACCTCTTCTGCTCACCTCAGGAGCCTGAGGACTCCCTCCTCGCATTGTTTTTCCCTCCTCCAACCCTACCCCCTTCCACTCTGGCTTTAGAACTACACTTGGGTTTTCTCACAGGCTCTTGGGGCTCTGTTTCTTGCCTGCCTTGTCACCACTGTTCTCTCCTCTTGTTCCTCATCGTCTTTCTCTTCCTCCTGCCCTCAGCCTGGCAATACTGAACTACACACAAAGACTTTCTCCACGTCACAACATTCCTTCCTCTTTCCTGGAGTGGTTTTCTCCCTCCTTTGGCTGGTTACATCTTATCTATCTTTCAAAGCCCAGCCCAGCTATCACTCCTTCACAAAGACTTTCTCTGGTGCCTCTTCTTTGGATTAGACTATCTCTCTCTTCTTCTACCTCTGCCCTAGCCTTTACCCCATAGTTTGTAAGCCTCTGTCCATGGCCCAGCAGCCCTCCTGGGTTGCACTGTATGAAGGCAAGGACATCGTACGCCTGGATGCCTTGTCCAGCAGATGCACAGAGATGTGCTCCAACGGACTGACTCAATGGGCTCAGACTCACGGGCTCCAGTGACATGGGTCATGGGGAGCCTGTACATTTCAACTCCTGATCAAGCTGGTTTTGGCTCGGAGAGTACCAGTTCCATGACCCATGGCTCCTTGGGATTCTCAGGCAGCCGAAAGGCCTACGTCTCTACCTTCTCAGAGGAGAAGAAAAGCGCAAAGTGCTCTGTCCTCCTCCCTGTCCTCATCAGTGGCTCATCACCCCTTCTGCCACTTCTACACCTCCACCTCTGAGAGTAAACATCTGCAAGCTTCCAGGCAGCCCTGTAAGCCAGGGACTGTGACTAAAAGCTAGAGATAAACAGCTCAGAAGCTAAGGAAGCTTGAGGAGCAGGAAGCTTAACAGCAGGTGGAACAAAGCCTTGGCACAGGGCTCCAGGAAGACCGAGCTCCACCTGTGTGCTACCAAGCCCTCGCTGCCCTCCAACCACTCACAGCACTGGAAGAGGGCAGGCCCTCGCGCCCAAGGCTCAGTCCTGCTCACATTCTCACCTCCCACCTCCAGTGGGCGCTGCTGAGTTAATGGCTTGAACCATGTCCGTGGTGAGCGCATCCAGTAGGCTGGTGATGAACTCCATCTTTTTCCCTTCCGGACAGCCTAAAACATGAAATGAGATTGGAAGGCAGATGCCAAGTAAATGACCAAGTGAGTAGCTTTGTCGGTGGCCATCTTTCCCCAGGTTTAGTGGAGACTTCTCATCCACCCAGAGGGAGAGGTGCTCATGCGCCACAGATGACTCCGAGAGCCTCCTCCATCCCTCTCCCTGAGTAGCCCACAAGGGATCATTGAGCCAAAGGATCATGATGCTTTCAGTTTTCCTCCACTGTGTTGATTTTTGTGGGCACCAACTCACGCACTTCATGAAATGCAAGAGAGACAATAAGGCCTTATCCTTGCGAAATTGGCCATACACTGGGCTCATCATTCAAGATAGTGACCAGGCAATCATCGTAGAGGGAGGAAAATGCTGCTCAGGGTGAGAAGCAGGTGCAGTGGGAGCAACAGTGGGGTGGGAGTAGTGGGGAGGGTGGGATGCTGGACCTTCACTGGTCCAGGTGCACTTACATCACCCATTTATCTACCCTAGAACCGCCACCTCCTTTTCACACTCCTCCCTCATGCAGATGAAACTAGAGTTTCCCTTGTCAGTGCTCCCATATCTGTTGTTCCTTTTCTTCCCAGTGCAGCATTCCAGCAAAACCCCAGGCATGAAAAATAATGGGAGGAGGGAGTCCTTTCTTTCCTCATGCCTCCTCCCTCCTCCCACCCTACTTTCTCACCTGTTCAGGGGATGGCTGCCGGGAGGTGCACTGGCCTCATGACTGTGTCTGGGGAACAGGGCGACATCTACCAACCCTACGTAGGAACCACTGACTCTCAGCTTTCACTTAGGAGTCCTAGTGGTTCTTGGGAAGGTGGGATCAGCTCCCAGCAGCACAGACCCAACTGTGCTGAGCCACTGCAGGACTGAAGACCCTGCTACTTCGTCATCTCAGAGCTCCCAAGCACAGTTCATTATGAACAAGGGGAACCCAGCACTGCAGCTCTTTTGAAGTCCGGGGTCTCCTATCACTCCCATCCAGTTCCCTGCCCCCATGGCCATGCTTTCTCACCACACAAATACTCTGCAAGGCCAAGGAAAGACACTGCCTGGACCCCTTGGAACAGACCCTCCCTCTCAGCTATCTTCTCTTCACAGCCCTCGGGAAAATGGTTCCTTGACCCCCAAAACACTGCCCTGGTCACACTGGGCTTGAGCATGGGTTGCAGAATTATAGGAACAGAAGTCTGACTCAGTGACTATCTTCTCTAGATAGATACAAGAACAAGGAGAAGCAATGTGCTTCATTAGGGGCAACCCAGGCTGGGATACAGAGTCCATGGCACTGGCTCCATGCTCATGTAACACACATGTCCAGCGCGCGTGCGCGCACACACACACACACACACACACACACCATGCTATGCAGCATATGGGGAGAAACCCAGAGAAGCCAGCGAGGTGACAGAGGAGCAGGAAGACCTGCAGGTGTCTCAAAGCAGCACCTCCCACCTGGCAGCTCCCTGTCCTTGAAGGGGTCTTCGGCCTCTGTGCTTTTGGCCCTGGCATCACTCTCGCAGCTGGGCATCACATAGCTGTGAAGAGAGACACAGGGCTCAGGAGGGGCTGGAACGGAGCCCCCCATGGCCACTTCTGCCCAGCAAGGCTATATGTTGTCCTCAAAGCCACAGTTCTTGGGGTTCACAGCAAAATAGTCCCCACACCATCCAGCAGCTAGGAGGCAGTCCAGCAGAAATGTGCCCGTAGAGACATGTCCAGGCCTGTCATTTTAATCACGGAAGCCTAATAACAATGTTACCTTAGATGACCCCACAGGGTCTTTTTTGGTCCACAGGACCTAGTAACTCAAGCCCCACAACAATCCTGTCATCCAGAAACTGAGGTTCAGAGAGGTTAACTACTTTGCCAAGGAGAACAGCTAGAGCAAGACAGATCTGTGGCTGCTGTGCAGGTTCTGGGTCTTTCTACCAGAACCTTATGTGCTCACGTATGGAAAAACTGATCTCCTCAGGACTTGGCTCCCCCCTAGCTGGGGAAAGGAATGCTGAGAAATGCCAGAACCAGGTGCTGTCCACCTGTCCCAGGGCAGGCCGAGTGGGCTTACCGTGTGGAGGTCCCAGGCAGAGGGCGCCCCGTGTCCACCAGCACACACCAGCAGTAGCCGGTGGACTGGTGGCACTGCACTGGCTTGTAGAGCCCTCCAGGGGCACACTCGGGGATGACGATGCCCTCGCGTGGATTCTGCCGGGCCTCCTCCAGGGCGTTCTGCCTTTCCTGGTCACACGAGTGCACTTTCTCTGTAAGAGAAGACACAGCCTTTAGTGACTGTCACTCCTGTGTCTTGTCATTTCTATCTTGCGTCCAAAGTAAACAGCAAGGACCAGGCACTGCCCCAGGCACCAGTGACTTGGTGGATGAATCAGCACCCATAGCTGTGTTTTGCACGCAAAGGGTAAGAGGCTAGAGACCCACAGACTCCCTCCCCCTTGTGGCCATATCCATTGTCAGGGCATCAGCACCCTCCACAAATGCACCCTGCTTCAGCCACAACCAGCCAGCGGCTCCAGCACCACACCTTCCAGAGCAGCAGTGTGCATCAGGGCTGGGTTTCTTCTGTTTTTTGGAGTGGCTTCCCCTCTAAGAAAAGTCAGCACAGGAGCCAGCTGCCCTGTGAACTGGTACAACAAAGCCTGTGTGTGTAGATGCTCCCAGGCCCGGACCCATCAGGGCAGAGTCATGGCCACCAAGTAGGGTATGCTTGGCACCCAAAAGGAGCAGAAACAAAGGCCAAGCCCAGTTCCTTCCCACCCTCCAACACAAGGTCGAAGCAGACTGACAGGTGTGAAGTCATCACACGAGGCTGCCTCTACATAACAGCAGAGAAAACCAGCCTGGCAGGAAAGCGTGTGCATTCTGCCACCCTGGGAAATGCGAGTGAGTATGGACAGTCTTAATTAGGGTTCCCTGGAGTCAGTGGAGGGGGCCTCGTGCCAGCAGGGCCACCTGAGAGGGAGCCTTATAGTTACCTGGTCAACCAACCTTGCTCTCCTTTCTGTCTTTTGTTTATGCTTTAATTATTAAAAATAAATAGCATTGCATTTCTTTCCCTATGATAAAGACCTTTTTAAAAGAAAATCTGAAAAATACCCATTATCCTGCCAAAGGTAAACCTTCCACTTCCTTTAAATCTTCCACCATACACACAGATACGTGCAAAACCAGACACATGCACCCCTTCTTTCTTTACAAAACAAGGGATCACATTGTGAACTGATTCTAGTGCTTTAGTTTTCATTAACTCATTTATTTACTTAGTTACTATATCATGATTTCATTTTTTCTTTTTAAATTTTTAAAAAGTCATTTGCTTATTTATTTGGTACAGAGTCTCACCATGTAGCTTAGACTTGTAGCGATCTTTCTGCCTCAGCCTCCCCATTGCAGGGATTACAGATGTGCACCACCATGCCTGGTTTCGGTGCCTGGGGTTCCAGGACCAGCAGGGCCTGCAGTACTGGGAATCAAACCTGGGTCCTTGTGCTTGCCACGCAGGAACTTAGATCACTGAGCTATCTCCCCATCCCTATGACTTTTTTTCTTATGAACACTATTCTATTATTTTCCTCTTGAGCAAATACATGGGAACACAGTCTAGGGCACCACCATGCATTTCTATGATGAGGCACAAAATGCCACTCTTAGAACAGTGACGCAGCACCAGGAACCAGGAGGACCACACTATTCACTTGCCACCGTGAAAATGGTAAAAAAACTAGAAGCTCAGTTCCACCCAAAAGGATGCACTCCAGGGAAAGCTCTAGCAAGCCACAGGTGCACACAGAGGCACCCTGGAGCACAGTGCCACCCTGGAGAAATAATTCACATGAAGTTAAAAATCATCCATTGTCTCAGTGCTAAGAACAGTGCTGATGAGCAATAGAGATTTTCATTACAAAGCAAGAGGAACATTTCCTTAGGGGCCTAAAGATATCTGAGGGCTAAAAGACAGGTAAGTGGAGCATATTCACTACTGAACTTTAATTGAGAACTCAGGAAAAGAAATAAGAACTATTGTGTTCATAATACAAATACAATGAAGCTATAGACAATCTCTGGGGCTAGAGGAAAGACAGCGGCCTAACAGCAGACTAGAGATGCAGCTTCAGGTGCAACTTCCACAAAGCGGCGTCTGGAGACAATTTTGGGAGACCCAGCCCAAGTCTAGGCCCGGCAAGTGTGTGGGAGAGCTTCCGTGCTCCCCTGCGCCTGCTGGACCCCTCCGGACCCAGCCCAGGCCCGGCTTGTGAGTGAGAACTTCCACTGCTGTGCTCTTGGGACCCCTCCAAACCCAGCCTAAGCCCAGGCCCGGCAAGTGTGAGGGAGAGCTTCCACACTCCCCTTTGCCTGCTGGATCCCTCCAGACCCAGCCCAGGCTCACTTGTGAGTGAGTCCTTCTGTCCTGCTCTGTGGACCCCTCCAGACCCAGCCCAGGCCTGGCATACAGGCCTAGGGTGAAACTGCAGCTGAAGTCCCTACAGAGAGGCTAGGGGCCAGAACCACCCAGCTAATCCAGGAGCAGAACGTCTTGCCAGAGGTGCACAACAGGTTCACTTCCAAGGGCTACAGCAGGAAGAAGCTGTGCACAGCACCCAGACCCAAGCCAGGCACAACTGGATGAATTCAAACTTCATAGATCTGCACCCGAATATCAGTAGGTGCTAAGGTTATAACTGCACCAAAGTTCTACACCAAAGGTCAGAGGACAGTGCTATACAAAATGGCAAAGAGAAAAAAGAGCAAAATGCAATCTCAGGCCCCGAGCCCACCCTGAACAAGTGCAGAAGACACTAGCACAGAAGAAATTGGGAATCACACAGCTGAAATGTCTGAATTTATAGCATCTTTAATAAAGAAACACTGCAGAAAGGTATAGAGGAACTCAGGTCAGAAAATAACTTCTGAAATAAAAAAAAATCTGAATTAATAGCATCTGAAGTAAAAAATCAAATGCAGAAACAAATAGAGGAAATCAGATCAGAAATAATCTCTGAAGTAAAAAAGAAAGGGTAACTATAATGAAAGAATAACTGTTTTGGAAGAAGACACTGATAAAAAAAATAGAGGAGATTGGATACAACTTTGGGGTGAGAATGAAACTGAGGAGGGACAGGGTCTTGGGAAACCCGGCATCAAGACCCAGAACTTTGACTTCAGCCCCTGGCAGAAGAAGGTGCCGAGTCAACTCCAAGAGGATTACACAAGTGGTTGCAGCCATTCCTCCACTTCTAATTTGGTGGCTTATTTTCCTGCCTCATGTTTCAGGCCATGAAAGAGGCAATAGAGGAGGAAAAGCAAAGGAAAACCATGTTTTACTGGCACCACGTTTGTGTAACAGCCTCTGACAGATGCTTTAAATTAAGGTTCTCCAGCCAAGCTCCTCAAGCCATAAATCAGACCAAAGCCAGATGCTAGGGAGGAGGCAGGCTGTCCCCTCCCCTCCAGTGGATAAACCTGACTTCAAGGCACTGGGAGTCCTCAAGCTCACAGAAACATGGACAGCATCCGTGGTGGCAGAGGTCCCGTGGATGGATTTATGAAAGTTCTCAAATGCTGCTCAGAAATGTTTACAGTTAACTTCCGTGAGGTTCTATGGAATCATAAAAAAGGATACTTCACTAATCTGGGAAAATGGGAGATAGCATGAAATTAAACAGAACCCTAAATTCTGAGCTCACTACTCTCTTCATTATGTACCTACTCATTGCTTTAATACAGTCCCTGCAAGTCCTAATGCCCACTAAGGAACAGTTCCCTGACCATGACATCCATTAGTGAAGAGACAGGTGGTCTTCTTTCCGGAACTGAGGATTGAACTCAAGCCCTTGGGCTCGCCAGGGAAGCCCTTATTCCACTGAGCCATCTCCCCAGCCTTTAGTTGGTCTTTCTATTAAGAAAAAGTCTCCCTCAAAATCATCTTTACACCTAAGAACAATAAGAGCAAAGGGGCCAGGTGATACACAGAGGACTTTTCCCATCTCAGGTTGGCCCAGGTGAGGTGAATGCTAAGAAAATGCCCATTTGTAGACAAGGAAGCCAAACTTTAGGGCGACTTGTGAATTTTCCCAAGTTCCTCAGCAGAAAAGAAGAGGGCCGGCACTCCCACAATAGCACCTGAGAGTCAGGCCACCCTCAGGACCCCTGCGTGGTAGAGCCACTAACCACTCACTCCAGGAGGCAAATCCCCTGCCTTTTGATGCCTCCAGATCTGTGCTCACACAAAGTGCTGCGGATAGAGCACAGCTTCTCCCAAACTACCTATTTTCTCAGCTTAAGCACATGACAAAGCTTGTTCCTCAGTATTTTTCTCTTTTCCTCACAACTCAAAAGCTTAACACCAAATCTGCAACTTTCCTACCATCATAGAACTATCAAACACATGACAGCAGCAACATTTACCAGTGCGCACCACTTGCCTCAGCATTAACTCACTTCACACTCCTGCCAGCCTCTAGGACAGGTACGGCATCAGGGCAAGGGATCTGGGGACACTGGCTGGCTGAGTGGCTCAATCAAGAGGTTCTGGCTCAGCACTTCAGGGTTGTTCACCTCTCCGCAGTAACATCTTCCATGGCCACAGGCTAATCACACTTTTAGTCCAACTTGCATTTTTGTTTTACAGAGTTTCTGTAGTGGTTATGACACAACTGTCCCTGGCAATCACACCTCCCTGTCTTCATGCCCCTGTGAAGATTCGTCCCCACTGAATCTCATTGCCATGGACCAATCACACGACAAAGTGATGATACGAATGGCAGGCCAGGCCCTTTAGAGGCCTCATGGCTTTCACTCTCCTGGAAGCTGCCCAGATGTCACCCCTGAAGGAAGCCAATCTAACTTCCTGGAGGAGGAGGAAACAGAAGCAGCGCAGCCTGATAGAGAGGTCCTCCTGGGTGCTCCAGCCCCACTGACCATCGCCCAGGGTGAGTCCACAAGTGAATTCTGATAAAACCACTTAAGGAAACACCCATCAACCCACAGGCATGTTAGCATGAATAAATCATTTTTATGATAACCCAGTGATTTTGGAAGTTGTTTTTACACAATAGGTAACTGAGACATAGACTGGTTCACTCTTGATCAATCTATACCATATTTTTGTAGCTCTTACAAGTCCTTTAATCAATAAATCAACCAATCAATCAAATTGCTCCTACAATATTTCTCAAGAAGTCAAGCAAATGCTGAGTAGTGAGCGCCACTGACTGTGGACTCATCCCATCCCTGAGGACCCAGAGCT